GCATTTCACACATCAGAAAATATGACAAGCGAAGACTTCTTGATCTGCACAGCCTTTTGTTCAGTTTTTGTTATAAAGCAGGGCCCTGGGCATTTCATACTCTGCTTGAGAGCCTCTTTTCTGAAGACTTTATTGCTAGCAACCAGTTAACTTGGGTTGATCTTCTCCCTCACCCTCACCCCCACCCACATCCCTGGCTGCTGTGAGAATGTGAGGAAAGCCTGGCAGCTATTTGTCTGAGAGTTTTGGAGGGGTTTTGTTTCTTTTTCATCAGCTTCAAATGGGTGGTGTCAAATGTCTTTTCCTTATGACCCATCACAGCACATTGTTTTGCTGGTTTAGAATTTGCTTTTGTGTTTAGTTCCTAATTATTGCTGTAAGCTTAAGGTCACAGAGAAGAACACTGTCTGGGCCAAGCTTTCTTTTATACAGAGTGGTGAGGAAATTCTCTGTGGCAGCTTTACCAGGAAGGAAACTTTTCAGCATTAGAGAAAGTGCTAAGACAGCGCAGCTGAGGGAGCCCCTGGGATGGAAACTTTCTTCTCACACCTAAAGTGCAAAGAGAGTTACTTTAGGACGAGAGGAAACAATTCTGCAGGGCGAGTATTTTGTACAACAAACTGAGTGCTTGAAAAATTGACAAGCAACTTTTTATGCACCTTCTGTGAGACGGCCTAAACCTTGTACACACCAGCAGAGAAAGCTTTTTGTGGCAAGGACATCTTTCTAAACTTAAGAATATGCTGCAATCAATATCAGCAGTAGCTGGCAGGGGTGCTTACCTGACCAGCCACCAATGTTATTGGGAGGGTGAGGTGGTGGCAGGTTCGTGCCGTGAAAATGCACTGGCAGAGCCAACATGGCACATCTGCTGGTGCATCTCCAGTCACCCACTGCTGCCTCACGCATCCTCCTCTTCCTCCCAGTAAGCCACAGTAATGCTGGTAATGGAAGGTCAGATAAGCGCCACCACCCTGGTCAGCATTACTCAGCTCAGGAACAGGTCTGTGGTGTCATAAAACATCAGAATAGCACTGGTGGATTGGGCCAAAGGCCCATCTAGTCCAACATCCTGTTGCGTGTTTAGACCTTTAAACCTCCCCCTTAAATAAATTGAGACAAGACTCAAATTTTGGTTTGGTTTTTGGCAGAATTTAGACCACAACTTTATTGATTACAGCAAGTGACTGGTTGCATCGGCTCTGGTTCGACTAGCTCCCTGCCATGCAGGTATCACTGGCCTAGGGTTCCAGCATAGGTCAGCCTAGGGTGAACACCTGGATAAACGGAAAATGGAGAACAAGCTATCTCTGCCACCCAAATGCTCCCCTGGACTCAGGCACGGGCACAACCCCCTCACAGGGGTTGATCAAACCATCAAGTACCTGAATTCCTTTAACAGAATACCCTTCACAAAGGGATGATGAGAGCGTTCTCCCATCCCTATCACCTGAAGCAGAGCCTATCCGCAACCTTGCAAGTTGTGACGATTTGCTATGTGGCAGGTGAAACCCAAATGGCAACAGCCAATCAGCCAAGTGGGGAAATTCCTGCCGTGCCCCTGTCCCAGTGACAGATGACACACGACGGCATAGCAAGGTCAAGCGTGCAAGCCCTAAATATAGGGAGAGGTGGGCGGGCATTCCAATGCACGCACCGAAAGAGGAAGCTCTGGTTCACATGCATAGGTATATGATCCATTTAGCCTGTGTCCCATTGGCCTGATTGAACCCAGCATCAAGGCAGAGGATCACCACTGTGGCCAGTAGCAGTCGTTGATAACCTTCTCCCCCATGAATTTGTCCAATTCTCCTTTAAAGCCATTCAAGTGGCGGCCATCACTGCCTCCTGGAGAAAGCGCCATAGTTTTACCATGTACTGCATGAAGATTCTTCCAACACTTAGCTTCATTGGCCCTGGAAGGCCTTAATAAAGCCGTCAAGCATACTGCCCTTCGCGTTCCTGCAGTCTGTCAGTCAGCTTAACCCAGGCTTGTCAGAAGGGTTTCTCCCAAGAAGACTCTTTCTTCCCCCTGGTCAATAGGTACAGCGGTGGAGCTTGGTGTCTCAAATTTCAGCGGCGCACTGTGGAACACCAAAATTTGCCCCCCTCACCTCTCATGCTCCATTCTAAATCATAGTTGTGGTGTCCCCTGTTGTATCCCTGAGGCTCTGCACACAGCACTCCCCTAAATCTGCCTCTGATGAGGAAAATGTGTTTGATTTGAACACCTGATAATTTCTACCTGCAGCTTTTTCAGATGGTTCCAGTAAGTGACGAAAAGAAGAAATGAACACTGCCTTCTTCCCAAGACATTGTTGAGTGCCATGCTTTACCTGCAGAGCTGTTGTGCTGAATCACTGTCATCGCTGTCATTCCCATGGTAACTGACACTCATGTCCCACCTCAGGAAGGTGGCCTTTCATGCCTGTTCAGGAACTGGCAAGAGCCGAAGCAGAACGCAAAGGAGGACAGTTTACCTCAGACGTCATTGTACACATTGGGCTTCTTTCTAGGCGCTCCTGTTGGAGGTGTTTCTGTACCTTTGCAGGGTGGAGATGGATGGAGAGTTGCCTGTTCATTTTTATCCCAGAGAAAGCCAGTAACAGCAGCACTAGTCTTCCCCCTTTCTTTGCCAGCAGCATTCAAGCCAAGCCGAACATGACGTTAACAAAGCACTATTGTATTTAAGATGCATAATTATGTTTTAAAATGCAAAAAAAGCCCACTTCATTTGAAGCTGCTATTTGCATTGGGAGAAGATTCCCATTGGTGCCTGCTGAGATAATTACCAGCCCTTTGCCCTCAACATCTGCTTTCTGCATTTTTAAAAAAATACAAAAATAAGTTTCACATCTCTTCTGAGGCAGAATTTCTGTTGGGACAGCACACCCTTAATCAAAAATGCCACAAACACCACTGGGGGTGGAAAGCAATGGAAATAAACTTGCCTACTCCCAAGGAGCATTATGCTGCAATCCTATCTCAATTTACCATTGAGCAAGCCCCATGGAACTTAATGGGTCTTACTCCTGGGCAAACATGTAGACTATTATTATTTTCCACAACTGAGCTCTGCTTTAAGCTTGAATAAGTGTGAGCTAAGGGATTGGCTTTTCTGGACAGAATCCAAGATGGACTTGCAACTAATTAGAAACACCAATTTTCCCCCTTGGTATGCACTGTTGAGAACAGAGCATTTTGGAGCTACTTATCTGTCCAAACTCTCACCAGCTTTCTTAAGAAATGCCTCTATTGAGCTGTGTTTCCATGGGATGCCCACTGCAGTCTTGGACAGCCACTTCAACAGGGTCCAGAATGCAGGTTGTAGTCAACCTCAAGTGGAAGAAATAAATCATTATCTGTTAGCTTGCCCCATATAGAGACCCGAGAGATCACTTTCTGAAACCTTTGTTCACAAATGCAAGTAGGTTCAGCCCGACAGAAACAGTCCAGTTTCTTTTGAGTGACAATAATAGCTTCATAACACAGAGAGTGGTGCTCTGTGCACTGGCTGCAAAAGCAAAACCAGGAAAAAGGATAAAATCACTATAAATTGTTGTGGTGATTCAGAGGTTTAATTTGAAATCAAGCTGGGTTTGAGTTTGTTGGTATCTCTGGTATCTCTCTTACATCAGGGATGTTGGCTCATGTTATGGATGTGTGATCTGTATTGCTTTATTGGTACTCTTGCTGCATGGCTAGAACAAGAATCTTATATTGTATTGATTACATGGCAAATTTTTTTCAGATTGTCTCAGTTTAAGACCCAAACAGTTAAGGACTGCATGTGTTGCTGTACACACCTTTCTTATATTTTATGGATTGGCAGCATATACCATAAATGCTTTTAAAAAGAAAGAAAGAAAATCTATCCATCTGGCTGTCTCTCTGCAGACCATTACTACTAACATCTTATTCCACTTTGAATAGATCCATGCAGAGACATGTACTGTTTGGCAGGCAGGCACACTGCTGGGTGCTGTGACCTTTTCAGATTGCTACTGCTGGTCCAGTTCTCAGGTAAGAACAAGGGACATTGAACACCAAAGAAATGGATTTTATGCTTTCATACTCAGCAACTTCTTTCTGCACCAGCTAGACATAGTTAGTGGGGAGATGACATTTTGACTTGGTTTCAGTTCTATGATTCTGTGAGTCCACATAGATGGAGCATCATGTTGTATCTATGCCAAAGGATGAAAATGGAAAATATATGTTTTATGAACACCGGGTAAAATGCAGGGTAGGTGACTGATTCCTAAGACCCACTATAATCAGTGAGACTTGGTCATACAATACTTCCATTGGCTAGGCTTGCCAACCTTTCTCAGTTTCAAATGTCTGGGCTGGAATCGTATGAACGGACATGCAGTCAGGAGAAAGACCTTTTGGATTACTTAAGAACATAAGAAAAGCCTTGCTGGATCAAGCCAAGACCCCATCTAATCCTTCACAGTGGCTGCTCAGATGCCCATGGGAAGCAGATCCTGAGTCCAATTGTATTGCTGTTTGTGCCACTGGTGAAGAATCAAGATTCTGGTTTAAAAAGTATCTTGTGGGAACTGCTGCAACAAAGTAGGAAGTGGAAGCATCAGCTAGGCATGTGGTTACAAGGACACGGTGTGCGCAGTGTGTATTGTGAAAGGTGATTGATCAAAAGGATGGATGGCTCATTCTATTCACTACATCATCTGGAGCTGTGATTGGGACCAGAATTTATGGAAAATTTTTATCTCTGAAGGGGCTGGGCCCCTGCTCTGCAGTCAGCACTCTCTCCGTATCAGTTTAACAACACTTCTGCTAAAGCTGGACCCAAGTCTATAGTTTAGTTAACATACTACTACTACTACTACTACTACTACTACTACTGGTTTGTTCCATCTATCTGTCTGGTCATTTTAACTGTATCTCGTTTTGAAATTGTTTTGTGGATCTTTGGACCACAATAAAGTATTGAATTGAAAAATTGAATTGAATAATAATAATAGTAACAGCACTGAGAAGAAAATAATTTATTCATTATTTCAACATGACAGTAATTCAGTCACTGACCAGTTATGAGAGAACCTTGAAACAACGAACCATTTGAAACACTTTAAAGTACCTAATCCCAAAAGAAGGAATGAAAATGTCAGCTGGGATTTTCACAGCTTGGGTGCCCAGAGTTTGACATTAAAGGCAAAAATGGCACTTAGATATCTAGCAATCATTGATTTTCAGCTGAATGGATATGTTTTTGTTAGGGATGGATGACCCTGTCAATTTTTGCTTCTCTCAGTTTCTCATATGTCCAATCTTAAATTCAGTTGGCCACATTTCTCTCATCAGTTTGCAAATTATTTTTAACAGCCCTCATGAAAATTCACCAGCATCTTAGTTTGCATTTCTCCTGACATACACAGTTTCGTGTATGATTTTTCTCTGATAGAATGCATTTTGCCATGTTATTTTTATTAATACATACATTTAAACACAAACTCTTTCCCCCTCGTGGACATATTTTGTACACATTTTTAGCTTGGAAAACAGCATCAGAAACTTTGAAGAAGTATGATTTTCAAAGGAACACTGTGTTTCGGTTTATGTATTGTTTCAGGAAGTGTGAATTAGGTAGGATGAGATTCTCTTCCATCTAAGTTTTAGTTCTGTGCTTGCTCTTAGATGGTTTATTTCCCCAATTCCAGTATTAAAAATGATAAAAAGTAATAAACAGTTTTTAAAGTTGATGGAACTAGCACACTACCTAAAGTATTTAAGGTAGCAAATGGCTATCTATGGCAGTAACTTGTGTCTTTCGCATTGATTTTAGTGTGGAAATCAACAAAAAACTTGTAATATTGTTGGGGTTCTTTTTGTAAGAATTGAATGAAATTTGCCGACACATTAACCCCTTCTTTGGCAATGAAACCTGTGAAATTTCAGACAAATTGGTGTAGGGACTTTCATGTTAGGCATCTTCAAAATATGAGGTGTTTTAGTTGTGTGTGAGGATTTTTTATCTCCTGAAAGGAATATCAACAAACACAACCCATTTTTTTGGGAGGGGGGCAATTGTCATGTAAGGGGAACTTTCAAAACCATGTGATAATAGACCAAGGGGTTTTTTTTGTTCTGTTTTTAAAGAAAAACAAAATCCCACTCAGCACGTTCGAACCACCATGGATGCCTAACTCTGGACTCATTTAATGTGTGCTAAATGTCAGTGGTGGTTGATGCGGTGTGGCAAATTGGCTCCATTGGAGCATCTGTGCAGCCCTGGTTTCCTGCCACTCTGCCTCAGCTCATCCAGGTAAGTTGTATCAATGCTGATGATAGGAGGGTGACTCCATGGCTCTGCCACGGTTCCTGCTGTTGCTGCTGAGGGTATATTTTGTTCAAGGCTCCTAAATCGCTTCAAGGCTTACACACTTATTTTCAAAAACTAGATTTCCCCCCACTCACTGGATGCATTTGAAAATGCATCCAATGCCTGGGTGAGTGGCCGACTTCTGAATTTTATACATGTTAACTCCAAAATAAATCCTGCCAAGTTCAGTGGGACTTACTCCCTAGTAAGTGTGTTTAGAACAGCAACCTCATTTCTGAAGGCAATTCTGCAGGTCTGATATGCCTTCATCCTCTGTGAAGTAAAAAAAACATCTCAGCTGACAGGTTTGTTTTTTTAAAAAAAAAACAACTTGAGGCTATGAATATAATTTGAAACAATAGCTTCTTGTCAAAAACAAGAAATACAATACCATTCTGTAACATCTTAAGCAGCCTAGAGAAATACACTTGAAGCTGAAATATATTCACATATGGGGGAATCATAGGAAATACAGACATTCTAGAAATGTAAAATCATGAATATTATCTTCAATGGTTATTTAGAAATAGATTTCCAACACTGATGAATCTAATTATTTAAAACGTTCAGTCAAAAGAGCACAAAGAGGAAAGGGAGAGGGAGTCCTTAAAAGGACAAAATAGCCTTTTGAAACACAAGCAGAACCAACCATATGACATCAGTAAGCGCAACGATGCATGGCTACCTCAAATAGCTCAGTCGGTAGAGCATGAGATGTTTTATTCCAGGGTGATGGATAAGAGCCCCACATTGGACAAAAGATTCCTGCATTGCAGGTGGTTGGACTGTTTTCCGACTACAGTTCCCATCATCCCTGACCACTGGTCTTGTTAGCTAGGGATGATGGGAGTTGCAGTCCAAAAACAGCTGGAGACCCAAGGCTGGGAAACACTGACCCTCGTTGTGTCTTCCAACTCTTCTATAATTCTATATGACATTCCATGTGAGATTTTTAAACAGTGCCTTGGAAATTTGCAATCCTGATTTTCCAGAGTTCTATACCGGGAGGGGGGGGGAACCTACCCAATCTCATCTGCAGAAGTCCAGACCTCAACAGGGGAAGAGCTGTGGGATAAAGTGGGTGATATGATAGAAGGAGAAGGGACAATGAGGAATTGCATGGGGAGAGGGGGAAGAATGCCTGAATAGGGCCATAGGTAAAGGTAAATGGACCCCTGACCATTAGGTCCAGTTGTGGCCGACTCTGGGGTTGCGGCGCTCATCTCGCTTTATTGGCCGAGGGAGCCGGCATGCAGCTTCCGGGTCATATGGCCAGCATGACTAAGCCACTTCTGGCCAACCAGAGCAGCACACGGAAGCGCCATTTACCTTCCCGCCGGAGCAGTACCTATTTATCTACTTGCACTTTGACGTGCTTTTGAACTGCTAGGTTGGCAGGAGCAGGGACCAAGCAACGGGAGCTCACCCCGTCGCAGGGATTCGAACTGCCAACCTTCTGATTGGCAAGTCCTAGACCCTGTGGTTTAATCCACAGCGCCACCCGTGTCCTGAATAGGGCCATACAAGGCCCCTTATTAGTTTCAGACTATGGGAGGGATCCAAGGAACTTGTTCCCCTTAGTACAGAGATTTACGCTCGTGCAATGGAACCTTTCCCACTCTCCTTTCCCTGCCCTCCCCAAATCTGTTTGGGGGGTTTGGGGAACCCAACACATATTTATGTGGCACATGGGGGCAGGAGGGGGAATTTGGTTGCACAAGAGTAAATATTTGTGCTAAGGGAACAAGAGACTCAGTGCTACTTTGGATACAAGCCTGTCCCATCATCCTTTGACAACGGACTCCACAGATTGTGAGCAACTGCATCTTTGTTCTCTGACAGCCTTTCTCACAGCCTTTCTGTTTGGCTTTTATTATACCTAGACTCAATGTTATAAAGTTATGCTCCTCATAATCTAGTGCTTATGGGACTGAGGTTTGTCCCTTTCAACTCTAAAATTATTCATTCTGGGGGAGAAAGAATTGATGGACCTGAAACCCACAAGGCAGGTTTCATCCAGATGCATTCTATTGTTAAATAGACTAGAGCTTCTCCCACAGACTGTCATTGTTAAGACTATTTTCCTTTAAATGAGGAGAAAATGTCAAGAGACTTCTGGAAGGGAACATCTTCCTTTCCCCTCATTGCTGAAAAGATGATGTCATCAAACTGTTGGTGAAGAAACAGCTGGTGTAGCAGGGGCAGATGAAGAAGCACTCAGTTGAGCTCTGCCTTAATCTCAGTGTTTTTGCTCTTGCCCTAGACTATCTTATGGGAGAATACTGGATCATGGACTAAGTGCTGGAATGGTTTATTCCTGTACCTTCACCTATAAGGTATAAAATCCCCGTAAGACTCCAGTGACCTCCTTCAAAAGAAAACCAAACCTGAGTAAGCGCTGTATCCCAAAACCTTGAACCCTTGGATTTTTCAAGTACACATAACAATACAGTTATCGTATATACGAATCCATTGTGAGGAATAGGATGGTGACGTTGCCAATTCAATGCATGATTGTTTTCATGTGGGATTTTGAATTTTTTTACAACAAATAAAATGTCTGCTATAAATAAATAAATAAATGATAGCTTCTATGATTATTTAATTTCTTTAGCCTAAAGAGTGTTCGGGATACACTATCAATAAATAACTGATTCAGAGAACCAAATTATTCTTTCATTCTAAAGAACATTCTTCTTTTATTCTAATGTAACCATTAATTTGCCATTACCTTAAGAAACCAATTACAGCCCTTACGTACATTACCTCACGATGGATCTTGAAAGAGATAGTGAAATCTATTTGTGTCTAATTCCACTTTCTGTCTTCTGGAGATATCCAATATTCCCCAGTCAAGCGATAGCCATGTGTTCTGCTTTTATTTCAGTTGAATTACAACCAATTGTCCATTGCTGATTGAAGTCATTTGACATTCATAAACCCGAGAATGTAAATTGTTAGGAAAGTTTCTGTTGTTTGTAAGGACACGTCAGTTTTGACCATTGTTGGTTATGCTTTCAAATGTGCAAACTGAACCATTTTAGTATAATTTTTAGTGTAAGGATTTTCATTTGGTACACATGAAGAATTTGATAGTTGTATCTACATATATACACTGAGGTCTGGGGAAATGTAAAAAATGAAAATGAAATGTACTTTCCTAGGGAAAATAAACATTTTTATGAAACCATTCTTGTTTAATGTTTCTTTAAGCTGACTCTGTAATTCTCCTTTCTTAATTGGAGTTGTTCAAATTTCCTAACCTACTTTCTTATCAGAATTATAGGGTTTCAGTTATTTTGCATTAGCCAGCTGAGAGAGAAAAAAGAAACTTTTAACCCAAACCCTGTATGTTTAGCTTAGATATGAATTGGTCACAAAATATCCAGCACTATGTGCAACACTTTCAAAATTCTATTGTAGTTTTGAGGTGAAATATAATTAAAAACTGTCTGGGGGAAAATGGGAAATTATTGCGTGCTCTGGCCAATGCTGATAGTTCATGCTAGGAGGGATGATTAGTAGTTGCAATATAGTAAGTAACAAAAAGAGAAATTAACTTCTCCCCATATCCAATATGAACCTTGATTGCACGATGTGAAATTGAAACTTCCTCTTATGTGGTCACAGATGATACAAGACCGTCAGTCCCTCTGCTTTAACAGTGGCCAATCATTTTGGCAAGGCCGGCAGTGCCAAAAGTCCAGTTCAGAGTAAGACATAATGGCTCTCCATGCACAATGCCTATAGGTATCTCCATATGACTTAAGTTGGTTTTCCCTGTAACCTGCTTAGCTAGAAAGTGGGCAGCATTCTTGAGCAGAAAGTGGGACTGAACAATGCCAGAGGCAAAGCCAGAAGGTCTCCTGTGCTGTGTGTACGTGCACATTATTATTATTTTTTATTAGATTTATATACCACCCTTCAACATAAGACCTTGGGGCAGTTCACATGCTTATGTTGTAGATTGACCACCAATGCTGTGTTTTGAGCATGGTTAGAAGAAAGAGTTTACCATACTATTTTCTGCATTCGGACTCTCCAAGCACAGAATTAATACTTCAATACCTCGAAGATCGAGTATTACCTTTCTGAGGGACACATAACATGCTGTCTGTGCCCCGGAGACAGACACCAATTTATGTTCATTACGCACTCCCCAAGTCCTGCTCCTCTTCAGTTCTACCTGCTTCTCAGTCTGAAAGGGCAAAGAGTTTGCTTCCTCTCAAGCACTGTAATGAGCTACAAGCAACACTGTTTGTTTTGCCTTGGGGCCATTGAGGGCTGTGGGTTCCGGATTCTGGAGGCTGACAGTTGCTTCTGGGTGTTCTGAGGACGGCTGTCCGGCTGAAGCAGCAACAAACGTGAAGTTATTGTCCAGTCTCGGGACAGTGCAGCACATTCGAGTAGACCTCAAGGAGCCTTTGTTGCTGGAAAGGCCTGATTTCCTGTCACATTTCAGGAGAGAGCAAAAGCACCTGTAAAACTGAAACACAAAGACAGGCCTTAAATAGAAATCTGCTGTGTGGTTGATTTGTTCTGCCATTGCACTGAGAGCGATGGAGTCCTCCTCTTTGATGTTCAATAGAGAAATTATATTCCGAGCTACTGTAATGGGCAGGAATTATAAACTGAAATAAATTAACAGGTGCATTTGGAGTTCAATATAGTTACTTAGCAGCCAAATATTATTTCATTGATATTTGACTGCATTTGTAGTAATGCAGATTAACCGAGTTAAATATTGTCTCTAGTTATTAAGGGTTGGAGATAAGACTCCATGCTTTAGCTTGTCCTTAATTGTAGTTACCGGTACTTTCTTTTTCCTATGCAGTTGTGGATTAGCCTGTTATTTAATAAACAGCCTCTTGTTATGAGCCTACAGAGTCCCGCTCCCCCCAAAAAAATCTCTTCAAATTTCCATAAATAAAAAAATAAACAGGCAGCTTTCTTGATGTGAGCCTTTGAAGGTGGCCATTTCAAAACTGAACTTACAGTCAATACTGTGCATGCTTCCTTGGAAGTAAGCCCCATGGAATTCAGTGGGATTTGCTCCCTAGTAAGTGTGCTCGGGATTATTGCTTGAGATTATGTGCTAACAAAAACCTATTGGCTGGGATCCAAAGAACTACTCAAAGCAGGAGCAAAGAGTGGAGTGTTTGTTCGTTTTCTCTTTGTACAGTTCACCACAGCTCCGAATTTATTTATTCATTCAAATTTTGAATTTTACCCCACCCTTCTGTTTAAAATGTTCGAGGCCTTTGTAAAACAATTAAACTTAACAGCAAATAAAAGGGATAAAACAGCAAATAAACCTGCTCAGACTAAAAAGGCAGGGAAATGAAAATTTTAGCAGATCAACAGGCACATGCTGAAAAGGGAAAAGTGTGCTCACACAGTGATGGAAAGCCGAGAGAGAGAGAGAGAGAGAGAGAGAGAGAGAGAGAGAGAGAGAGAGACCTATGCTTTACAATGTGAATAGGGACCTCCAGATGTTGCTTGATTACATTTTCCATCATGCTTGTCCTTTGCCTTATGCTGGCTGGGGCTAATGAGAGCTAGAGCCCCCCACAACCTCTGGAGGGTCCTAAATTCCCAACCCCTACTTTATTTTCTTGCATCTCTTTATTCCAGTTCGGCTTCTGAAAAACATTTCCATCTTATCGAACAACAGTCCTGCCTTGACTCCCTTCGCTGAGCCCTTAACATTAGTTACAATCATATGCTCTGTCTTATTTCCTAATTAGTATAAATGCATGTACTGCAAGGAGATGTAATCTCACGGGGCACATTGATGCATCTGAATTATTTGAAGGCATTAAAGAAGCCACTGGGTGAATTCCACATGGAGCTACTTCAAGGTCACCAACATATTTTAAAGGAAGTCCTACTGCTCATTTTACAAATTTGGGCTAAAAGAGGTCATGGCTCAAGTCTCAATCTTCAGGAAAGTGCATTAAACTTGGAATTAGAGGACAAAACCAAGTGCACACTAATGATTTTAAGCTACATTGTCATCAGTTACATCTGGTCCTCCTAAATTACTACTACCAATGATTACAAGGTCAGGTAGAAGTCAGAGACTGTAGCAACAAACCAGAAAACCGATTGAGCAACTCAAAAAATAGAATACAGGAAAGTAAGTGCATACTTCTGTATGTATGATCAAACTCAGTCTTCAACACTGAAGGCTGTGTTAGAGGAACCAGTTTCATTTTTCAACTGCATAATGGCATGTAGGAATGTTGAATTTGCCACTAAGTGCTACTATCTACATCGCTTGGAAGTAAGTGGCAAATCTCTCATTGTTTGCAATGGTCTCTCATTTATCTGAAGCAGTTTTATCCTGCTGTTCAGCTGACAAGGTTCCCAGAGTGGCTTACATAAGATCAGTAACAAAGAAGACAGTCCCTGCCCTCGAGTTTGCAATCTAAAAGGCATGACATAAAAGGAAAAATGGAGGATGTGGGAAGATAACAACAAGCAAACTCTTATTCTTAAAGTTACAGAGTTCTTATAATGAGCCACTTCAATGGAAACAGTTGAGGGAGGGAGAGGAGGAGCCCATGAGAGTGGGTCCTGCTTTCAATCTTTCCTTCTGCTTTAGTCTGATGGAATGGTTGCACTTAGAAAACTTATTCTGTCTGTTTTTAAGTACATGCGGTTCAATAATCAAAGACCTTGAGATAGTGAAATTCAAAGATGGGACTGATGGGGACAGGAGGACTATTCCATCAAAAGCCTTAAAATCATTGGTATTTTGTAGATCTTAGGGAAAGCTACAATAAGAATAAGAATAATAACAATAATAATAATAATAACAATAACAACAACAACAACAACAACAACAACAACAACAATAATAATAATAATAATTTATTTGTACCCTGTCCATCTGGCTGGGTTTCCCCAGCCACTCTGGGCAGCTTCCACAAAGACCAAAAGTACACTAAGATGTCACACATTAAAAACTTCCCTGAACAGGGCTGCCTTAAAATGTCTTCTGAATGTCAGGTAGTTGTTTATCTCTTTGACATCTGATGGGAGGGCATTCCACAGGGCGGACGCCACTACCGAGAAGGCCCTCTGCCTGGTTCCCTGTAGCTTTGCTTCTCGCAATGAGGGAACCGCCAGAAGGCCCTCGGCGCTGGACCTCAGAGTCTGGGCAGAACGATGGGGGTGGAGATGCTCCTTCAGGTATACAACAAGCTATGGCAAGGTGACAATGTGAAGGATGGCATATATCAGGGGTGGCCAACTCCCAAGAAACTGCAATCTACTCAAAGAGTTAAAGCCCTGTTTTGGGGGGTTCAGGGCAAAAATATTGAGCTTTTCTAGGAGAGCCAAAGTTGTTGAACTTCTTTAGAGGGAGCCGGTGATCTACCGGTGATCTACCACAGACATCCAGTGATCTACCGGTAGATCACGATCTATGTGTTGAACGTGCCTAGCATATACTAACTGTGAGGGCCTTGGGTTGAGCCAGGATGCAGGTGTCTGTAGGTTTAAGAAAGTGTGTGAATGCATATTTGTGAGTCTGTAAGGAAAGGGTAGCAACCCATTGGCTTCCTGTCACATATCATCTGTTTGCACAAGAAATACAATGCTGTATCTAATAGCAGTAAGCTTTCATAAACATCTAGGGTTGTGAATACCTAAGGCTGTGTGAACTTGTGATGTTACACTTGTATCACCAGAATATTCTTGCAAGAAATGAAACAAAAAACCCTCTGGCATTTCAGTCATGCTAAACTAATTTCTAGTCCTCTTAATGAGATACAAAAGATGAATCCAGACATCAGAAGACTAGTCCTACAGCCTTCTATTGACAGTAATCACAAGGTGTTGATACTGTATGGCCAAAACAATACATAATTTTAAATGCACCCTTCTTCCCCTTCTGCAATAAAAGTAGGAATTCCGAAACTTGTCATGGTCCTCCCTACTCAGCCAGCCACAGATTTGGAGTAAGGGAAGACACTATAGTAGTTGTTGATACAATTCTCCCAAAACAATCTGGATAAGCAACCTTGGAAGACTTACAAAGTCTTGATAAACCAAAAGCCACAGAGGAGTGGAGAGAAAGGACACTGCTAGATATCTGAGGCTATTCAAAGCTCTTTGAGCTGCTAGGAGGTTCACCTAAGGTGGCCACTTATGCACTGCCAAAAAGGAGAGAATGCACCCAAAAAGAGTACATAAGAGGCTACAGATTTGCAGAAAATATGCACTTGTTGATTTAGATGCACAGATGCAAATTTTAAAATAATTGCTAAAATTATTTAG